ATTCCTCTAATCTGCTTCAGAAACAGGAGCTTATCTATTCCCTGTCTCCCAAAATGCACCCACTTCCCACCATCCACCCAACTCAGCTGAAACAGCAGCTTTGTTTCAGACAAAGACCCATTTGGTTCTCTCAAACGAAGACTGGTTTGAGGTGTTCTTAGGATGGATATCAAAACCAAATATGGTAGGTAATTACTTCTGGAGCACAGAAGCCCAGAAAACATTACACTTGGTGTCTATTTCACTGCAGAGAAAAGATAGGAATTACTATCTCATTAAATGAGCCTGTAACATTTTCCAAAATAGGAAACTGAGCCTTGGGAGAGGTAAAGCCACTTAACTAAGAGCACTCAGTTAATAAAGAATCAGAGCCATAATTGAAACTTAAACTTAAAGTCTGATGCTATCTTTTCTTTGATAAGAAAATAACATATTTGACTATGAAGTTGATAGATGCCTTAAGTTGCTTTCAAGGTCACTTCATTCAGGCAAACTTAAAACAGATGGAAGATAATGTATGTTTCCCTGTAGCATATGTTTCATTTTAAAATATTTCAGTGAAATATAATATATACACTAAAAAAGTGCACATATCACATGTGTACTGTTTGATGAATTGTTACAAATTGAGCCTACCTAGGTAACCAGTGAGCAGATCAAGAAACAGAACAGTAACAGAAGCCTCCTGGATTCTCCCTTCCAGTCAGGAGCCTCTCCCCTCCACCAACCATACCTAGATCCTGTACAGCTGCCTCTCAGGTGTCCATTTTAATACCAACAGCACCAAATTCTATTTGTTCTGATTTTCACCTTTCTTTTTCCTTTCCTCTCTTCATCTCACCTAAGCTTCTTCTTTATCTTCCTTTATTCTTTCTAGCACCATGAGTACACTGAGTGAGCTTCACTGGGGTGGTTGTTTGGTGCGATATCAAGTTGTCACTTGGGATCCCTCATCAGAGTGCCTGGGTTAAGTGCCATTGTTGGGCATTGCCTAAAACCTCCATCACAATATGGCGCCTGGCGGATGTTCGAGGGACGTGTCTGCGGCTGCTGCGGTTAAGCTACGTAAGATCAGACTACCGGCAGGGATAGGTCCACTTTAGTTCTGGACACGTGGACAGTGCATGATCCCTATACTTTGCTTAAGATGCCCCTGTGCGTGATCCACCCACGCCTGCCTGACCTTTTTGCTGATTGGCTCCCCTACTGTGCATGTCTTTTGTAAGCCTTATAAGCCTGTACACTTCCCCAATAAAGTAGTTCCTGCTTCGACAGAACTCACGGGTGCTGCGGTGTGTTTGACCTGTCAACCTTACCTCTTACTTACTTGCCTTGTCAGGGAGTGTCTGTACTGTCCCCTGCTGGTCAGGGTCAGCCTCAGGCTTAAGACCCCAACATCCCATTACTATTTCCAGTCCAGCTTCCTGAAAAGGTGTACCAAGGGAGGCATCAGAAATGGTTCAACCACTTGGGTCCCCACCCAAATGAAAGATCCATATTGAATTCTGGGCTCCTAGCATTGGCTTGGCCCAGACCTGGCTGTTGGGGGCATCTGGGGAATAAATCAGCAGATGGAAGATTCTCTCTCTCTCTCCCTTTAAAATAAAATGAAAATGAGTACATATACATTAAAGTATATTTCCTTCATTACTTTGAAAACATGCAATCAAAAATAAAGAAAATACGCACTAAAGTAGAGCCAGTATAGCTACAGTTATGGCACTTTCTCAGCTGTGAGCTGTTCATCTACAATCTACATCCATCACTACTTAAGAAGCTGGGTCCTATGGAAGTGGACATCATGAACATGACCTTTAGAATAGAATGCCATCAGACTGGAAGAAAACCATGTAGGCTGCCAAAAACAGTAAACAAAGAAATGGCCGCCAGCATTTGAAAGTGAAAACCAAAACAGCCTATTCTTCCTGGATTCTTCTTTCTTCTACATAGCCTTTCAGTGTGTTTAACACTGAAAATCAATGATTTATCACTTTCAAATATTCCATAGGCCAATTTTTCTTCTCATATAGCATAGTTTGGTAAATTTTAACAAATCAGCACACTTCAGTTATAGACTTGGTTGGCCTCTTTTTTAAAAAAAACAATGAGATGGAAGAATGGAAGAGGTAGGAGCAGCACCTGTTTTATAAATTAGTTGTATTGCAGTGGAGCTTCATGCTAGTCAGCTGTTGTGTTTCACAGGGTGGATTGCAATGAGTGGCTTACCCAAATCTGGGAAACAGTGAGCTCTGTGAAATTGGAGTTTTCCTTGCTTTCTAAAAAATGCAATTTTATTTCTCAGTAAATTTAAGTCTTTGAACTAAGTGACAAGCCTCGTGTAACAATGGGCTTTGCTGACTCTCCTCTAATGAATAGAATGAGGACATCTCTGTAATTAGCACATTAATTGTGATCCTATAAATGATTACTACTGCAGTATTGCAAAAACAGTTGTAAATAAGTTCTACATTCCTAGTATCTTCAGTTGTCAGTCTGATAGGCATATCCCTTCCTTATAGATAATGTAAGTACGAATTCTAGTTAAATTTTTACATATTTGGATCAGTGAGGTCCTATTAAATCTATCAGTCCTATAAAAACCTGAGAAAATTCAATATACTTACCAAAGCTATCTGAACCATACCAACCAAACAGCTGCTTTTCAGTTAATTTAGTTTCTAAGTCCATCTCGATGTGGCATAATCTACTTACTGAACCATACTCTAATGGAATGGGTTATTAAAATGGTCCCAAACTGACCAAATCTGGATCTTAGGATTTTTTTCATTGAAATATGCAAAGTTAGTTGTTGTTTTTGTAAAACTTGAAAATATTGATACTGCTGGAGCACAATAATTTTGTCAAACATATTTATGAAATAGAAATCACAATTTTAATCAGTCTTCATTGAACATTTCTTTCGTGTGTGTATGTGTGTGTATAAATACTCATATAAATCTGACTGGGATTTTAACTAGTCACTCAATTTTGGCTTCATATAGGATAAAGTCCAATAATTATTTTTTTATTCTTAGAAGAAATAAAACTTTTTTTTACAGCTTAAAGGTACCTCATCACTAAAAAATAATCACATAGTTTCTCAAAAGAATTTTTAGAGTTTTTTTTTTTTGGGGGGGGGGGAGGGTGAGTGCCTTTATTGGCTGAGCAGGCTACTTGAAGGAATTGGGGCTGGAATGGTGATGGAGAACTTGCCCCAGTAGTGGCTGATCCTCTCTGGATGATTTTCACGTGTTGCAGGTCTTGCTGTTGTAAACGCCCACCACGTGGCCCGCCATCTCGCGTCCTGCAGGTGCGTCTTCACCACCTCGGTTTCCCTGTGATCTGCACCTTGGTCTTGTCCTTGCATAGGAGCTGCAGGGGGGGTGCTGCTAGCGCTGCAGGCCCCGGCTCAGCTGCCGCTGCTGGCTGGACACGCACAGCTGCATCAGCTCCTCTTAGGGCATGTCTGGCTTCTGGAGGGGGTCTGCGGGTAGGTGAACTTGCACAATGTCCGCGTCTTCTCCACTTCTGCCATCTTGTCGCTTCCAGGAAATGCTAGTTTTTAAATTCTTGTACATGACTGTTTCAAAGCCAAATATCAGTGTATTTATTTAAGGTAATACGATTTGAAGTGAAGTTTTCAGGGGGCTATATCATAGTGGCTAAAGTTTTTCTGAGGCAAAATTGAAATTACAAATACAAAATATTTTGAGAGAGCTTAAAGTGAACGCGGATGTTCTATTTTTGCCCTGCGGTTTTTGCTGCCTGCCCGACTCAAGACTACAGATTAACAAGTATGATGTTGTCTGTCATTACCACCTCATAACTGGAATTAATTTTCCTATTATGTAGCCAGTGACATAGAAAGACTCTAAGAAAATGGAACAAATATAGAAGTGCTGGATTTAGGAAGGCATCAGAAAAGTTCCTGAGCCCGTGGCTCAGCAGAGTGGGGGAAGCGGTGAAGAATGTGTGGACAGGGGTTCTTGGGTAGAGAGTTGGTGTTGTAGCATTCCACGTGAGTGCACTCTGTAGTTTGCTTAGGGATGAGCCAAAGGAGGTGATCTCCCCACAGTGCCTCTATGTGTACATTAAGTAGCACTTCACAAAATAGCTTTCTACTTATTAAAATTCATTCTATGAATACTATGTTTTATTGAGGAACAAAGAAAACAAAAGTATAATATATACTTTTAGATTATCAGTAATAACATTTTAGAAAATGCTATTTCTGTTTTGTCCCTTCTTTTTTTTTCCTTTTTACTCCTGGAAAAACATTTGATTTGCACAAATGTGCTGTCTGAACCAAATGCTTTAAATTGAAGTGGATTAGTTCAATATATATTCTAATTATTCATTCTTGTCCATTGTCCAAATACAGCAGTATTTTTAAATGTTGTATTTATGTTTTAGAGAGACAGTTATATACAGAAAGAGAGTTCATATTTGCTGATTCACTCCCTCACATGCTCACAAGGCCCTAGGCGAAAGCCCGAAGATGGGGATGCACAATCCATGACTCGCATTTAAGTTGTAGGAACCCAGTTACTTGAGCCATCACCACTGCCTCACAAGAACTTCATTAGCAGGAAGCAGAAGTCCAGAGCTGGAGCTGGGAATTTAACCCAGGTATTCTGATGTGGACCGTGGGCATTTTACCCACTGGGCCGAATAGCTCTCTAAAATAGTAAAAATAATTGAAATTCGTAGCAGGTTGTGTATATGTTTGTGTGTGCACACACAAGAATTTTAACTACCCAGTGTCTACTGTAATTCTATTAACAAATGTGTCCATGCTTGCATTAAATGGGAATAAATCTCCTATATTTCTGGCCATTAAACTATTGCTTAAATTGAGGAGAAAAACCTGAAGCCATTACTTCTCTTTTTGTCTTTTTTGGAAGCATTTATCTGTATACAAAAATAGAAGCTCTTTCTGTTTTCTTTGAATAATAAGCTTTTCATTTTGTACTTCATGAATATTTTTCTCATAATCTTTATTAAACAGATTTGCATGTTAAAATTCATTTTGCTTTCATGTCATGGTCTTTTTAAGACTTCTTTCTTGAAAATGTATTTAGCTCAGTGAAGTTAATGAAAGGCTGAATTACCGGCATTTGCAGCAGCATCTGTAAATCATGAGATATGATGAAAATATGTTTCACAGTTACATATTCATGATTAATTTAATGTATGACAAGGGAGCTTAAATCAGATACCTATGTATTATGAATAATTAACGCTGTTACTCTATTAAAAACATGTTTAACAAAAACAACTGCTAGTATTTATAGTGAGTAAATTAACATGTTACATCTATTTTTGTTGAACTTTACGATTTTTTCCTGCTTGGTTATATAAGAAAGAATGAATTTTTTATATGGAAATTATCTCTAGAATGTGAATCTACCCACTGCTTTTATATTCCTTTATATATCTTAAAATAGGCTGTTATCAAGGAGCCCTGCATTAATGTCCTTGCTGGAATACATTACCACAGCATCCTCCCCATATCCCAGAGGATTTGTCATTGCTGAAATCAAGCAGATGGTGGCACTCTCCTCCAGTAAACTCTCCAATATAATCGATCAAGCTTATAACAGAGGGATGTTTGTGAGTGGGACTGGATAGGAAAAGGAGGCAATGAAAGGATGTTCTTTTTAGAGTTTACCTTGAGCTATGTTGAAATAACCATTTGTTACAGTAACCTTTATTCTGAATCTCTGCCCTAGGGTCCTAAATTCTTCCCCAAGCACTTCATACTGTTCTTGATTGTTGCCTTCTCAAATTGGACAGCTTTTGTGTTACCTGTGTTACTTCCTTTTCTTTTATGTCAGCCAATCCCATCTTATTTTTTTAAGTAGAGGAAATACATTTGGATGTGATGTTGGGCTTCTACTTTCTGTGTTTTGTCAAAGAAGAGCTATGCTGTATTTGTTTTTGTCAATATAATGCAAAATCTCCCTTATTGTTTCCTTTATTTCTCTTTCTTTCCCTCCTTCTGCCTTCCTTTCTCGTTTCTTCCCTTCCTCCCTCCTCCTGTTTGTCTTCTCCCCTACCCCCATAGATGAACTGCTTTTGTGGTAAGCTGAATAGTAACTACCTGAGTATTTCTACTTCCTAACCCCCAGAATGGTGATTATAAGGCAGAAAGGACTTTACAAATGTGACTATTTTAAGAGTCTTGAGACAGGGAGAAAATCCTTCATTTTCCAGGTGGACCCACTGTAATCAAAACAGTCTTTTTAAGAGTGAGGCAGGAAGAGGCAAGATTAGAAAGGAAAGTGATATGATGATGGAAACAGAGATTGGAGTGATGTACTTTGAGGATGAAGGAGGTGGCTATGAGCCAAGGAGTACAAACAACTACTAGAAGCTGAAAAAGGCAAGGGAATGGATTCTTCCCTCAGAGCCTTCTAAAGAAAATAGCCCTACTAACACTAGGAATGGAAAAGTTGATTTGACTTCAGACCATCAGAATTATATGCAAATAAAGTTTATTTTATTTTTTATTTTATTTTTTACAGGCAGAGTGGACAGTGAGAGAGAGAGAGAGAGAGAGAGAGAAGGTCTTCCTTTTGCCGTTGGTTCACCCTCCAATGGCCGCCACGGCAGACGCGCTGAGGCCGGCGCATGGTGCTGATCCGAAGCCAGGAGCCAGGTGCTTCTCCTGGTCTCCCATGGGGTGCAGGGCCCAAGCACTTGGGCCATCCCCCACTGCACTCCTGGCCATAGCAGAGAGCTGGACTGGAAGATGGGCAACCGGGACTAGAACCCAGTGTGCCGGTGCCGCAAGGCGGAGGATTAGCCTATTGAGCCACGGCGCCAGCCAAATAAAGTTGTTTTGCTGCAAACCACAACTATTGAAATTTGTTACACACTAGTACCAACCTAATGCAATTTTCAAGAAGAAAACTATTGGAGACTAAACACTTTTCTTTCAAGCAGAGTTCTATCAGGAGTAAAAGTACTATCGGGAAATTTCAAATATTATAGGGAGAAATCAACAGGATGTATAGAAAGGTTAATATTAGATTAATCAGGACAGAATTTGAGTGACTTGCCCCAAAAAGTGGGCTTTAGTTCAACAGAGGAAGGGAGGGAAATTGCTTACTATGATTGGCTGAAAATGTTTTTAGAGATAGGAATGGTGTTGTCTGTTGAAAAAAAGGCTACTGATTAATTTTAAGGGTAGTGGGACTGGGGAGGGGGGTTCCTTTCATGGACCAAGGAAGGAATGTGTAATTAAAGAACAAAGGACTGCCCAAGGTTGTTCACAATGACTGAGACCTTGTGTGGACATCACCCAAGACTAATAGATCTGTGGGGCCACTCCTCAGATAAGTCTCAGTGTTTCCCTTGAACATCTTACAGGTTTTTAGGGACAAAGTGCTTGAAGGATCCTGCATGTGGTAAAACGTTTACTGTCTCCATTGTATAAGGAATGGGATAATATTTTAATCACTCTGTTTACACACAAGGAGTCTGGGGTACTTGGTAACTTGGTCAGGATCCCACAGCCTGTGGCTACAGTAGAGTCAAACTTGGGCCTGATTCCAAACCTGAGCTCTTCCTCAGCTATCTGTTGAAGTAACTTGCTTTGAAGTTGAGTATTATCTCAGCTCATTATAACTTTATATTTTGTTCACTATGTGGAAGTTACCACTGACATCAGTTAAAAAGGGATATATTAGTATTTCTGTGGGACTTAACGGTTGCAAATAATTCTTTCATATCAGTGCAATGCTTGGTTCTATTTCCTGTATCACAAGGTTTCTTTCTTAGTTTGTTTCTATATAAACTGTTATAAGAATATAAGATCGATATACACATTCCAGGTCTTGCTTCCTTTCTACTATATTTGTAACATGAAATTCGTAAGGCTGTATTTAGCTTTGGTGCCATAACTCAAGATTAAAAAGTATCAGAATCCATCATTATTTATCTTTTTCTGTTGCTGTTGTTATAAAATCCAAAGTTCATGCATTTGCTTAAGATGGCAGAGTTGTGATCATTTAAATGTCTTCTAAGGATGTGAGTTCACTGTTAATCCAATCATGAAATGTTCTTCAAACAAATGTAGACTGTATTGATGGATAAACTGCTAAGTATACATAGGATGTAATACACTTTTTTTCCTGATTCCTCCTCCCTGCTCGCAGAAGTCATATTTCAAGGAAATGGTAATCACATGTCATTGTCAAGACAAAGGAGTTAGTAATGTTATCCAACATTATAATGAAAAGAGATAGACATGGAGGATCCCATCTTCACAAGATAAAATGTCAAGATGTGTAATAGATGTGTTATTCACAGAAGTCCATCACTTTTCCCATTAGGAAGGTTCACTATAAAGCTTGTGTTTCCAAGAGAGGGGAAAATGAGGGAGGCCATTAGATGAAATGAGAAAGGAGCTCCAAAAGGGAACTGAGTCTAATGACAGAGATGGCTTCATGTCACATAGAAGAAGCCATGAGGTTGAAGAACCTTCACACATTAAGAAATAGAGGAGAGTAAAAGAGACACTTCATACCCTACCATCCTTCCCCCATCCTTTAGATTGTTTAGTTTGGAAAATCGACACTGTAGATAGGACATTTTTAAAATGTGTCCTGGACTATCTGTTGATGATTAAGGCTATCTTTTTTTTCACTACTGAATTCTTAGTGTTTATTTTTCCAAAGAGATCTTTTATTTAAGGAATACAAAATTCATGTATTTCATAAGTACAACTTTAGGAATAGTGATTCTTCCCACCCTACCAACACTCCTGCTCCTCCTCTCCCTCCCATTCCCAGTCCCATTCTCCACTAAGATCCACTTTCAATTAATTTTATAAACAGAAGACCAACTCTATACTAAGAGTTCAACAATTTTCATGGAAAAATAAAATTGTTCCTCACTCAACAGTGGAGACAAGGGCTATTCAAAATCATTGCATCTTGAAGTTAATTTAACTACCTTTTTATTCTAGAAACTTAATTAACTTTAAAGAAGCACCCACATATGATACTTCCTTTGCTAGCACTTAGACATAATTATAATACAACTCTTTGAGGACAGAGGTCCTGCATGGGAAGTTAGTGCACAGTGACTCCTGTTGTTAATTTAACAATTAACACTCTTATGTATGATGTCAGTAATCACCAGAGGCTCTTTACATGAGCTGCCTAGGTTATGGGAGCCTTTTGAATCCAAAACTCCATCAGTATTTAGCCAAGACCACAAACAATGTGGAAGTTCTCTCTTCAGAGAAAAGTACCTCCTTGTTTGATAACCACTTCTTTCTACTGGGGGTCTCACCCATCAAAATCCTTCATGTAGGACACTTTTTGCCACAGTGTCCTGGCTTTCCATGCGTGAAATGCTTTCATCGCCTTTTCAGCCAGATCAGAATGCCTTAAGGGCTGATTCTGAGGTCAGAGTGCTATTTAAAGTGATTGTCATTCTATGAATCTGCTGTGTGGACTGTTTTTCATGTTAGTGTATTCACTCCTTTTTAATTCTATTATTATTACCAGATACTTAATCCTATCCATATGATCACTTTAACACTCAAGATGGTATTTTTATCACCCAGCTTAAGGGGATTTGGGGTCTCATATCAAGCTTTTAAACTGCACAGTTTATCTTATTTTTTGAATGCCCAGTATATTCTTTGCATTGTTAACAGTGTTTCTTGTGATATGTATAGATACAGAGCCAAATGCTTTGTTGTGCAAGGAGTTTCAAGGAAATAATGCTCTGATGATCAAGAAAGCACCCAGTCTGGGGCAGTCATTTGGTGCAGTGATTAAGATACCACTTGCTACACACACATCCAGATATCCGAGTACCCGAGTTAGGAACCCATATCCTCTCCCAGTTACCATTTCCTGCTAATGCACACCCCAGGGAGGCAGCAGATGATTGCTCAAGTGCTTGTGTTCTTGCCACCCATGTGGGAGACTTAGAATGAGTTCCTGACTCTTGGCTTTCATCTGGCCCAACCTTGACTTTTGCAGGCATTTGGGAAGTAAATTAACTGATGGGTTCTCTCTTTCTCTGGCTCTCCCTCTCTTTCTTTCCTCTATCTCTCTGCCTTTAAAACACTAAAGCAAAGTTCTTATTCAAAAATGAATCTTAGTAA